AGAGAGAGAGAGAGAGAGAGAGAGAGAGAGAGAGAGAGAGAGAGAGAGAGAGAGAGAGAGTTCCTCTTCTTCCACTTCTCAGTCCACCATCTCCCCCTCACCCTCTGGCTACCTGACTTCACTGCGTCAGCAGAGTACGAGAGAGAGGGATTGGTGACATTTAGATCCAGACTTGACATTGGGCTTCAGACATTTGACGAAGGATTATCTAGGACTTGTACCGAAGACTTGGTGTTGACGACATTCCCATCTCCCCCCTCTTCTTCGTCTGATCCCCTCCTCCTCGTCTGTGTACGGTCTGGACCTGGCGCATTCTTCCTGTGTGTAGCGCCAGGCCCCTTCACACCTTGTGATGAGGATGATGTATGTTTGGTCTGCATTGGGACATTGACTGGGCTAGTCATTGGTATTCTAGTACTCCGCTACGCTGTTTGGTACTACGTGAGAGAGGTCAGTCCCGGTCAGGTCAGGGCTTATATCTAAGTCTTCCACTGCGCTACAAGGTGCCATTTTGTATGTATCAGGATGTACATTGCTTGTTGAGATTCTACTAACATCGCATTGTCCATTCAGTCCTTTTTATCACATTGCGGATCCTTGGCTATACATACATTGCCCAACTGGGCATGTAACAGTTGGTATCGGAGCACCGCACGTGAATCAGGACAACCTGATCTAACACGTGTGTGCAGAACTAAGTAATTAATTAGTTTTGATTGATTGATTGAGTAGAGCATACTAATTAGCCCCCAAAATCGCGATTTTGACCTAACTGCCGAAAATCGAAATTTTTTTCTTTTCTTGGATTTTGTTTCCCGCTATTTTGGTTGTGGAAAATTGCAATAGCGCAACACCTGAAATTTCCGTTTTCATTTCTCTTCTGAAAATTCAAAATTTCGTTGTTGGAAATCCGGAATATCTTTCTTTCGAAAATTTTGATTTCCCGTTATTTGGAAATCCGGAATATTTTTTTTTTAATTTCCAAAATTCGTTTTTTTTTTTGTTTTTTTTTTGAACAGTACAGAAAATCCCTCTTGCAGTTACCATTTTCCAAACTGCGTGTACTCTCATCTGAGTAATTCCGAATATTTTTGTATTTTACTTTCGGAATTCTTTTATCGGATAATCATTTGCAGTCTGAAAGTTCGAAATTCTTTTTCCTCATTGGTAATTTCACACTTCAGGGGGAATTGGGAGGCCTACTGAACTTGCAAATGAGTATTTTTCTCTCTCTTTTTTTTTTGCAAAGTTTAAACTTTTCTTTTTGATTAGTGGCTCCTTATCTGGGCAGTCAACCCACCCCTCCCCACCTATGTTGTTGCCCCCTCTGGTCTTCTCTATCTGTCTCCGGGTACCCCCTACGGCGGAGTTGCCACCTCAGCAGGCCACGTCAGCCGACAGCCGTGCCACGGCAGCGACCGGGCAGTGCCACGTCAGCAACAGGGAGTGCCGCGTCAGCAGTCCTCCGGCCTGGTCTACGCTCACGCGCTTACAAACAGACGACATGGATCAGAAGTCGGGGGAAACGACCGGGGCCTATCAGGCCCAGATGCTGGCTTTGATTACCGAAGCCAAGAAACAGGCGGATGAGGTAGCAGCCGCAGAGAAGAAGAAGGCAGAGGACGCCGAGAAGGCACGTCTGTTGGCAATTGAACAGCAGCGCCAGCAAGACGAGGCAGCAGCAAAGGCTGCCGATGAAGAACGAAGTCAACGACGCAAGAAGATATTCAACGGAGAGCGAGCCTTGCTCACAATGGCCGCGGACTGGTGGGCCGAGGCCAAGAATGGTAAGATGGAAGAGAGTGAAAGCAAGATCGCTCTACTCCTCTCCCATTTCACGGATCTCCTGGCAACGTGCATTGCACAGCAGGAGGACATCCACAGCCTCGACGACGCAGTTCAGATGCACAACCAGGCGTTTGACCAAGTCAACAGCCACCTCCGACTGCTGGAGCAACGACCCGTCGCCACCCCCGTTGCCGGCTCCTCCAACACCTCCGCTTGCCTCGATACTTTGGAGATCGACACCGGAGCCCTCAAGGACGGCACGCAGTTACAGCAAACCACCACGCAACAACTGGAGCAGCGGTTTTGTGTCGCTGCCGCCAACCCGAGCTCGGCACCACGTGAGACAACTCTGAAGTTCGATGGTTAGGAGATCTTCTATGATTCGACGAAGGCGGACCCGATCTCGTGGTTCCGCAAGTTTGAGCTCAAGTTGCAGCTACACCACGTCAGCAAGGACAAGAAACACGCGTACTTGTACTCTCGGTCGGGGGGCGCGTGCCAAGCATGGTTGGACAATCTCTTGTCCAAATACGGGGTGGTAGTTGTCGACTTATACACCAAGATCAGCTGGGGTGATCTAAAGGCGGCGTGGCATAAGCGGTTCCAAGTAGAGCCGTCGGAGATCATGGCAATGGACAAATTGATGACCTTCGAACAAGGCACGCTGCCGAGTGTTGACTGGATTGCCGAGTACCAACGCTTGACATCCGTCCCAGACATTCAGATGGGCTTCAAGGCCGTCAAACACTAGTTCATGTCGAGGTCGTGTCCGACGTTGGGCAACGCCTTGACTCACGTCGAGGAGACCCTGACGACAACGACGGAGCTCTTCGACAAGGCCGCGCAGATCATTGTCAAGAACAAGCAGGCTAAGAACCTCAACTATTCGTCTGCGGCAGGCCCAAGCAGAGATCAGCATCGGCCGAAAGCGGCCATGGTCGCGGCGGCAACGCCAACCGACCAATCTAGTGAAGCTGTGTCTGCCAATGAAGGGGACAGACTCGCAGCCCCCCGGGATGGTGGACGCCCCGGTAGAGGCCGCGGACGCGACAAGCCGAAGACAAACACCACATTCTATCCACAGGCCCGGCGCAGCAGCTCAAGCCCCATGGACCCACTACGGCCTCTCGGAGCAAGCATACAAGCAACGCACAAGATTCCGCTATTATCTGTGGTGTAACAATGATCTCCACGACACAGTGGGCTGCCCGTCGAAAGGCAAAGGCAAATCGGGAAACTGAGCACCGCCGGGAGTGAATCGACGACACTTTCGACGCCTTCGGAACCGGTCGCTTCGCAGGTGACCGCCCTTCATTCTGAGGCACATGCGGAAGTCGATAGTCCTCCTCTTCTATATTCTTATGAGGACTATGCTGCCTGGCTCGTTCCTACGCTGGGTACTCATGCTTAAAGACAAGACGTGTGTGCGGCATTTTCCCCGTCCGACAGCGACAACTTATCGTCTTCAAGTGGTTCTTCACGAGATTCGGCGTGCGAGTTCAACATAGAGGTATTAGACCCGCTCACATCCGAGGATTTCGCATGGCTTCCTCTCCCGACCACGGGCCGTTTGCTAGGACCGCAATGCGGAGCATTATGTGCCCATCTTCACACGTATCTATCCTTTTGTGCACCACCAACTTCGTCGATGGAGGACGAAGCTGCGGTGGGGAACATCCTTGCGTATGTTACCAATGTGGCCCGCGAGTTTCGCAAGCAGCGGTACGATGACAACAACGCACCGCTCCTCTATGTCCGCATCCAAGTTGGGCAAGCGTCCTGCAGCGCTTTGCTGGATAGCGGCGCGTCTCACAATTTTATGAGCCAAACCTTTATGCAAAAGGTTGGCCTTGGCGCACAAGTTCGGAGGAAGGCAAACCCGACGGCAATCAAGTTGGCGGACGGAAGGACGCAGCAACTTATCGACTGCTACATCGAGGCCGTACCGGTGTATTTCGCACCTCATGCATGCGAACCAGTGACGTTCGACATTTTGGACAGGGACTTCGACATTATTTTGGGAATGCCTTGGCTTGCAAGTGCGGATCACACGGTCAACTTCCACGGGTGGACTCTTACCGTTCGGGACGCCTTCGGCACCAAAGTCTCATGTACTATTCCTCTTCCGCACTCTTCGATCCAGTGCTAAATGGTGACGGCCAAGTCGTTCCGGGCTACTTGCGCTTACGAGCAGCCCGACGAGATAGGCCTATGCTTCCTAGGGACCGTCGCGGTAGCCGATTCTTCCCCCGCGGACTTGTCTTCGGACCCCCGTGTGGTGCGGTTGCTTGACGAGTTCACCGACATCTTCGAGTCACCTACCGGTATGGTGCCGGATAGGCCGATCTCTCACTAGATCATCCTTGAGGTCGGTGTCGTGCCGCCGAAAGGCTGCATTTACCGCATGAGCGAGGAGGAGTTTACGGACCTTTACGGTCCTCCGTGCGCAACTCGATGACTTGTTGGACAAAGGTTGGATCCGCCCTTGTAGGTCCCCACATGGAATGCCAGGTCATCGACTACCGCAAGCTCAACGCGCAAACTGTCAAGAATGCGGGGCCTCTTCCTCGTATTGACGATCTCCTTGAGTGACCGGGTGGTCGGGTGGCGCGAAGTACTTTTCTAAGTTGGATCTGAAATCTGGATACAATCAAAAAATTTCGATATGGCTGAACGATCGCTATAAATCCGAGTTCAAGACGCGGTATGGACATTTTGAGTGGGTGGTCATTCCTTTTGGCCTCACCAACGCCCCGACGACCTTTCAAGCGACAATGACCAACGAGTTTCGTGCGACGTTGGACCGGTTCGTGCTAGTCTACTTAGATGACATTCTCGTCTATAGCCGGACATTGGAGGATCATCTTGAGCACCTTCGACGAGTGTTGGAGACGCTCCGTTGTGCCAAGTACAAAGCCAACCGTGACAAGTGCGAATTTGTCCGGCAAGAGTTGGAATACTTGGGCCATTAAATCACACCGAAGGGCATCAGTCCATTGTCGAACAAGATTCAAGGCAAGCCAATATCTTCGGCTCCACGCCGCACCCGCGTCCAGGTTCCACCTTCAGATCGTCAGCTTCGCCCTCGGTCCGGCTTTACTTCATAAGAAGGGGGGGGTGTTACATGCTGCGCCTGCAGACGAGGGCCATTTTCAGGCCCTGTGTCGTTTCAGCCTGAAAGCCTGAAAACAAGGGCCTACAGGCCCTGTGCCGTTTCAGCCTAAAAGCCTGAAAACAAGGGCCTACAGGCCCTGTGCCGTTTCAGCCTGAAAGCCTGAAAACAAGGGCCTACAGGCCCTGTGTCGTTTCAGCCTGAAAGCCTGAAAACAAGGGCCTACAGGCCCTGTGTCGTTTCAGCCTAAGAAGGGCCCTCCAGGCGCTGAGTCTTTTCAGCCTGAAACGGAGGGCCATTTTCAGGCCCTCATATGATCGACCTGCCCTGAAACTTAGGGACCAGACCAGGGTTTTAGCACAGGCCATTTTGGGCCTGTTTTCAAGACAACCTTTGTTTGAGCTTGAGCGCCAGGGTCTGGCACGTTTTGGCATTGGCAAGAGCAGCGTCCTGGACGGGCCAGCACTACATAAGACTGGACAGCCCTGCAGACTGCAGGTAGTTCATAGGGACTTCCCAGGCACTTCACGTGCAGTTCAGGAGGCAGGAGGTAGTCTTCAGGATTCGGCAGCAGCACTCTGGAGGAGCGCTGCAGTAGTAGTAGTAGCGTTAGCAGTAGTCTTCAGCGCTGGGCGCTATTAGGAGCTAGAGTAGCACTGGAGAGAGATAGAGATTGGGCGGAGGCCAGGGAGACTTACCTGCAGCGTCATAGCTCCAGCTCGTCGTCGAGGTACCTGCTGCACAGCGCCATCTTCACAGGTTAGTACCTGGCACATGAGAGAGAGAGAGAGAGAGAGAGAGAGAGAGAGAGAGAGAG